AAAAAAAAAAGGGAGAAAGGAGCCGGTGAACACTGCAGTGTAATATGGTAGAGTCTTCATTAGAATAAAATAAGAAATGTGAATCTGTCTTTAGAAATCAGTTCTGATTACAGGGAACCCAGTAAGCAATCACTTTAAAAATACTTTGTTTAATCAGGTACTGTGAAGGTAACTGCTTTTCTGTGTTGCTAAAAAGGTGAGGAGTAGCCAATGAGCTATCCTGAATGGCTGGCTTAAGACAGGCTCTTGGTTCAAAGGTGCTAGAGACTTTCAGCAAGTTAGATACTGAAAAAAAGGTAAGCACTTAACTGTCATTCAACCAATACACTCATGTTCCCTTTCAGAAACCTAACCCTTCACTGTGGTCAGGTCCCTCAGTTTAGTCACATACCTGGCTTCTACAGGACATGGCTGTAGCCCACAAATAACACCAAAACAAAAAAAACAGCCCTCAGCTTGAGGTTCCTAGGGGTTATGGGGTGGGAGTCCTCTGTGGCTGTCATCTCAGGCCTGTATCTCTTGTTTCTGGTCTACAAATCTCATTCTCCTTTTGTAAAATGCCAGAAGGAACCCTGACTTTGAGAGAGAGAAGTCGCACATAACACTTAAGTTTCAATCTCAAATTTAAGGTAGCCCTATGAGGCCCTGTGGCTTCAGGACAGTGTAACATGAGTCTTATCACCACAAGCACTGGTAATCTGAAGGGAGCCTTCCTATGCTTGGTGTTTGGTTTTCTGCCACTCAGATAGGAAGTTCCCAACGGGCAAGACACAGCTTGCAGACTGGCACTCTTGGGGTTCAATACTTACAGGTCCCTGCTCTGGAGACCTCTCACGGTGAAGATGAGCCACACAACACAGGAGTGGAGAGCCATTTGCATTTTAATTGAGAATGATTAGCCCTTAAGTGGCTATACTGGTGATTACAGATGGTTTCAATTTGGAAGACAAAATTGCTCATGGATAAATCAGGAATTCCAAATGCAGAATCAAGCACGAACTAGGTATTGTGAGAGCTTCTTTGGTTAAGTGCGTCAAGAGGAAGCTCCCTCTTTCCATCTCTCCATGTCCATCATAAAACCCAAAGCAAAACAAAAGCCTCAAAAACTAAGAAGGGACAAGCACAAGATTCTTAAAAAAGAAAACCTACATAGTATGAAATTAGTTTTTATTTTTAGCTCAAAATAAATGCATAACATTTTGCCAAAATCAAAACTAAAGATGAACACTTAAAAAGGGGGAGGATGCACATTTTTCCCTCCCTGGAGAGACCAGTAAGGCAGACACCGTGATGTAGCTTGCTTTTTTCCTCAGGACTAGTCTAGGCAAACAAAACAAAAACCTCTCCCCAGTGTTTCCTCTACTGTCAGCTGTATCTACCGGGGCTGTGCCTGGTAGGATATAACCCCAAACCCTCCCGCCCCAAACCAACATGGAAGAAGGAATCTGAAACGTTAGGAAACCTTTAACCTGTTCGTATAAAATCCTTCCTAAGGAGATTCAGCGAGGGTAATGCCCCTCTGCAGCATAGCTGAGGTTTTTCGGTGTGTCCTGGGTGCATGGGCACCTTGGGGGAATTTATCCCCTCAGTCCCTGGGGTGCTGGGCTCACATTTTACCACAGGGATGTCTTAAAATTGAATTTCAGTTTCAGCAGATACTTCAGATTCACCTGAGCAATGTCATAGACAATGTACCTGAGGAGGGAGAGTGAGTCAAGGAGCCAACGATTTAGAGTCCCTGAGACCCAGTTTCCCAAATCCAATCCCTTGGAAATGGGGGAAGGCTGGTGCTGGGGGAGCCAGGTTTATCCATACAGCAGGGGAGTCAGGCCTCTAAGTAAGCACAAGAGACCATCCAAGGGGAACGTTGCCAACTCTACCCATACCATCCTGCCCCGGGTGACATTAGCACATGTATCCAATGGCACAGCTCCTGAACGCAGAGTGCAGTCATGAAAGGATACTCGTTATACAGCAGGCAGGTGTCATTAACACCTGATGGGATCCCAGTCCCCAGTGGAACCTCTACACCCTCCAGTGTGATGCTGGCCGAAGGGTCAGGAGTGGTTTTGCCCAAACCTGCAAGACAGGGCAATTGTTAGGTATGAGAAGGGATGTGAAAATGTCCTGGGGACATGAGGTCTACTGGGTGTGTGTTCAGATCCTATGCTCTGCCCCTCAGATGCAAACCTGGAGGCTGTAAAGTAAGGTTCCCAGGCATTAATCCTAGCTGGTTTTAATGAGAAGTCACAGCAGCTCCAATGGGGTCATACTGCTGCTGAACAGAATTCAACTGAGTCACTCCAAGGCCTTGATCATCATGTGCTACCCAGTCAGCAATCTTTGGTGCGCCAGAGGTCCCCCTCCCTGCCAGCTACAGCTGGTCAAAACCCCAGGGCAACTAAGTGTTCCTGGTGCCCCACAGAACTTCTATGGCATTGTGACACTAGCTGCTGCCAGAGCGTGAAACGTTTTTATTTTTAAATGAACCCCTGGCTGACAGCCTCAAGAACCCAGCCTTGAGGAAAGGCACAGACCCCACCTCTCCAAATCCACCATGTATGTCTGGCTGGAGGGATAGTACCTTTGACACTGTGTTTGCCCTTGGGTAACTTGCTGATATGCGAAGCATGCTTAAGTTCATACCTATTCAAAAGAGACAAGTCTCGGAATCCATCCTCACCATGGAACCTCCCTCTCCAGCTCCTGGACTCCTCAAAGCTTGGAGTTTCTTTTCAAGTATAGAGTCTACAATGACCGCCACTGCTTTGGGGCTACTTCTAAAGAAAGGGATTATCTGGAGCTGTGGCCAGCTGCTTGGAGGTTCCTGTCTAGTCTACCGTGGCCTAGTCCACCAACTTGCTCTTTTGGTTACAACTGATAAGATTAAGTGGTTGCCTGAACCAAGCTGGAGGAATCAGATCTCTGTGAAGAATTCAGACCTGAGATCAAGGGCCTGTTTCCCCGAGGTGGTCTCAGTGAGGAGTAGGGGTGTCACATGGTAACCATCCTGTAAGCAATTCCACCTGTTTCCCCTTCCTCAGAAAGGACAGATGTTCCTGTCCTTTTGTTTTCTCAGGCATTCCTTAACTTGAGTTGCTTTCTACTTACAAAGAGTCCTCCTAATTTGAGAGTCCAGTATCTGGTGGGGGGATTTCCATGGTCAGTGCTTGGCCAAGAAACCTTTTGTTCTTCCAGCTCATTCTTCCCGCCCTGGCCTCAAGGGCCAGGACACTTACATGTTTCCAAGAGCAACTTCTCCCAATAGTATTAGGCCAATGGGGTCTCCCTGAGATGTGTGGCAGTAGTTGGCACTCTTGGATACCATGTCGGCAAAATAGATCCCTTTCCCAAACATGTAGCCTGTCTGGAGAGTTGGAAGAGAGACAGCTGAAAACCTTTAAAGGGAAGTCAGGCTTTCCAGTCAGTGCCCACATAAGCCACCACCTAGCCAAGCCCTGCAACCATCACCTCCACGAGGCACCTGCTTTGTCAAATGCCAGTGTTGCATGAGGGGCTTTAAGAAGTCACCTAACAATTCTGGACCCCACTTTCTCTCGACCAGGAACAGAATCTTATGAGGCTAATGTGAAGATTAAATGGTCGCTACTTAGACCAGGGCCAGGCACATGTACATAGCCAACAAACCTGGCCACTTCTAGAGTCTTCCGAAAGATAAGCCCGAGACTTGGGAACTGAGGCCAGTGTCCAGCCACATACAGGATAGGGCACCAATGAGTCACTTAAGCCTCTTCACTTGCCTCACTCTCTACAATCAAATCAGTGCAGGGCTTGGATGGCCACCTCAAAGGGCCTGTTCGGCTGGTTCTTTCCATAACTTGTAGATGATAAAACCATTCCTTATCTTACCCACTTATTGGTGAAAAAGACAGTAGCTCATGGATGCTGCCAGAAGGGGAGAGGTAGAGGAATGCTTGGGCTCCATGTGGCCTGTATCCCAAGCCTGTTCTTTTCATGTTAACACGCCCAATTACCCTTCATGGCACCCCTAGCCTAGACACATTTATTTCAGAAACTGTCTTAAACATGTGCAGCTGGCTCCAGGGTTGGAGCTGGAGCTAGAAAAAAGATGCCTGGCTAAGGCCACTGTGGAGCCACAGCTGAGCCAATACCTCATCAACAAACAGGTCCTATTCTTAGGGCACATGCATTCTCACCTAAGTACCCAGCTCTTAAGGAGTAGACTACTTCAGGGACAAGTACTCCCATACTTCTCCCCATACCTCTGAAGCCAACCACCTACCACAGGTGCTTCAGGTGGGGCTATCCGCAGACCCTGAGATAAGATGCCGGCAAAGTTGGTGGTCCTGGACCCGTGCCATAGCAACCTCCTGTTGTGAAGCTGCTTGAAGGGTTTGTAGCGCTGGCTTTCTCCCTCACGCTCTATCTTAAAGATCTGGGTGGATCATTAACAAAGGAGAGAAAGAAACAGTTGCTCATCACTCTGGTTAACTGGAAGAGCTGACTGGACATGAGCTACTGATACTAACCACCTAGAAAACTTCAGCCTTGTTGCAGTACGGAGGTTTTCCACAGGCCGGGGACCCAATCTATAGAACCCAGGGCCCCACTCACCAGGGACGAGCCATTAAAAAAATTAGTACTGCTGAGTATCAAGGCCAGCCTGGTTTACAGAGTTCCAGGCCAACTGGGGCTACAGGGAGACCCTGTCTCACAAAAGACCAGACCGGACCGGACCAGACCAGATCACTGTGTAGCCCTGGTTGGCCTGGAATTCTCTATGTCGGCTAGGCTGGCCTTGAATTCACTCAGATCCGCCTGCCTCTGCCTCCTGAGTGCTGGGATTAAGGGTGTCTGCTATCACACCTAGATTTTACATTGAATTTTTGATGATTATTTCTGATTCTACAACCAAGTCTGGGGATACTGTAAAGAGCTATTATCAAACTACATAAAAATTACTAATTTCTTACTGGTAAGTCACTTCCTCTGCCTTTTTAAAGCAAAGCAGATCACTCTTTCCTAGTTAGGCCCAGGGGTGGAGAGTAGGCAGGGGAGATATGGCAGAATAGGAAAGGGATAGAGAGAAGGGTTCTTACATCTATCACCTCCAGGTCATAGGCATTGTGAGTGGTGGCGTGAGTGTTCTTAACATACTTCCTGATGACCTCAGCTTCTTCAGAGTCTTTGTCAACCACCTGGAAAACAGGCATCTGGAATCAGGGCAGGGAGACCCCAGGAGGACCCCATGGTGGCAGGAAGAACAAAGATACACAAGATCGGGGGTTCCAGGCCATCCACCAGTAGGCAGGGGCCACAGTCCCATCTGCCTGAACATCACTTCTCTACTTGGATTGCTAGAGAAGGACCTCAGGCCCCTTTTTGTCTATGATCAAGGATGTGGGCCAAGCTAGAAACAGGAGGCACACTGTCAGTGAACCAGAATCAGGAAGAAGGAACAGACTCTGGACCAGCAATCCAACTTACTGAGACAAAACACAGGATAGGAGAAGAAATCACATTATTTTCTCCCCATCCTCAGTCCTAGGGATGGAACCTTAAGAAGGTTCTTGCTACAGGAATTCTGAAGAATGAACACTCAGTCGCTCTTGACTCCTGAGGGCCATGTGTAACACAGCACATGGCCCAACAAGGCATGTCAATGTTACCATACTAAATAAACGGAGTTTATTATGCAGGATGCTATGGACGTTCTCTTAGTCTATTTTAAGTTCAGAAAACCTAGAAATTCTGGTCTTCCTTGCTGCCTCTTAATTAAAAGCTTCAACTATAGATGGAAATGAGAGTTCTTTCACCAAGATCCTACAGCTTTCCCATCAAGAAGGTACATTTGGTATCACACCCTGCTTGTGAGGTAGTGAAGTATGGGGAACAGTTAGCTATCTGGGACTCCACTTGGTTTGGGCTATGTATATGCCCCCTTTCCAATAATGCATGTGGCAGCCTGAAATCCTTAACTGCCCATTACTACACACACACAGAGCCCTCTCCAAACAATGCACCTAGCAACCTGTTAACAACCTAGGGACCCCACCCCTCTGCATAGCTGCACACACATCTTACTCCAAACAATGGAATAAGTTTCACCTCCCCTTCCGGACCATCAGATCTGACAGATTCTGTTCAGTCATATTCTAGTTATATCTAACTCTAAGAGTAGGGAGGTTGATACAGCCTGAACTGGTTTTGGGTACATGTTCAGCAAGGCAAACTGTGTCCTCTAAGTAAATTTTAGGGGGGAATCTCCTATTTATCATCTTATGCCTATGCATAATTGGACATAGAAATGATTAAAATCAGATGCAAATGGGAAGAGACATGCACAGTGGGCAGAGGGCTTATGTAGTCCAAGCCTGTCAATCAAAACAGAGAATCATCCAAACAATGATACTTCTGCAAATCTGTGTTTTTATTTCAATTCCTTGACTAAGAGGCCAAGAACCTAGAAACACCTGCTCAAGGGCAGGCTGGAGAGTGGAGGCACAGCCTAGGAAGGGCAATTCCTGCCTCCCTGAGCCTCTGACACACTAAGTTCAAGGATGTATGTGCTTGAAATAGGGGAAGAAAAGGAACTTTCAACAGAATCTTCAAAAACCAATCACTTTACCAATCTGAGGCACTAGCTCAGGAACCTCCCTGGTTTTATACCAATCTGTGGCACTAGCACAGAAGCCTTCCTTGCTCCCAGGTTTGCAAGAACTACCACTGCCATCTGGATGTGAGAGGTCAGATTCATGGCTCAGCTGCATGTTTAAGGAGCTTTGAAAGCCTTAGTGCACACACTCAGGTTGGAGGCACTGCTCTTGGGTGAGCTGCTGCATACTCGGGAACAGATGGGCACCTCACCTTAATGTCAGTTTTGAGCTTCTCGTAGTTGACATCAATGGGGTCCTTACTGGTGTCATCAGACCCACCCCTGAGAAGACTGTAGGCCACCTCGATGTCCAGGAGGTTGTCTAGCATCTCCACCTTGGCCTGGGGACAAAAGAAAGACCTGGAGCCAACTCCACAGGGGAGGAGACAGACTGACCCCGCTCTTGAACAGAACCTCTTTATGGAGATGACATCCTACACAGTGAGGGACGTTGGTCAGAGCCTGCCCTCAGCTCTCACAGTGGACACGCACAGGCATTCCCTAGAGTGCTAATGAGGCAAGTGGCAGATAAGAGAACTCTTACAAGGCTGACAGGCAGGGAGATGCTTATAAATAAAGATGCCACAAGCTAACCTCAGCCAGGAACTCTTGGGGGCCCTTATGTCAAGACAGTTTAACGGTCCTATCCTAGGCCAGTGGCAATTTTCCAGTCTGACTTGGTAGCACAAAGGAAAGAAAAAGTTGATCCTACCCTTAAAAACCATGGTTAGGAAGGGCAGTTCCAAGGAGTAAGATCCCAGTCCGAGCCCAAGAGCCCATTACCTGTACACTTTCTGCATTATTCAGGAGTGGGGGCTTCTTCATTCCAAAGTCATGGGGGATCAGGGTATAGAAACGATTGGAGAGATCCAGGATCTGGGAGTCACTGCTGCCCTGGGACACTGCCTGGAAGGGAGGGGGCAGAAGGAACACAGGCCTGAAACATCTGGTTGCATGCAAAAGAAGGAAAACGGGTCACCAGAGAACCTTCCCACTGGAGTGGTGGCACTGGCAGGAGCAGGATTCTGCCCTGTAACAGCAGCACTTGTCCACATAATGAACTGTGTTATTTTACACCCCCGTATAAAGCGTTACTGCAGAATCTATGCCCTGGGGTTATGGCTATTGTTGTAAAATTCCTTTGATTTTCATGTTTGAAAATTGTTCAAATGTGGGTGCTCATGGATATATATATATATATATAAAAAATCCAATCAGGCCCACTTTTATGTGCCAGGAAAGCCTGCACAATCCCAATAGAGGTGGGACACACAGGGAAAGAGGTCACTGTTCAGAAATTAGTGCTGCCTGGATTCTACAGCTCGTTCTCCAGCACCAGCCAGTCTTTCCTGGTGGTACCTTTTGCTCTTCTCACAAGAGGCTATGCCCACTCTCAAATACAAGCAGAACTCTCTGGTCTCTTGAGCATTCTTGAGCATTTCACTGGAAAGCCCCAGGGGCTGGGGGACTTTGGTTGACAATTAATCAACATGAATGAAAGATGAGAATCTTTTTTTCCTGTTTGATGACTTTTCTTTTTATGAGACAGGCTGGCCTTGAACTCATGATCCTCCCACCTCAGCCTCCCAAGTGTAGGGATTGCCTGTGTATGTAAACACACCCACGCATGTTGGAGGTCCAAGGACAACTTTGTGGAGTTGGTTTTCTCCTTTCACCATTATACTGGATCTGGGAGATTGACGCAGGTCACTAAGCTTGCACAGTAAGCACTCATTGGCCCTCATTCTACCTCTTAAGGACACACAAAATTCTCCAACAAGCTTATAGGGAGCTTATTACATATATGATGGCTGAAAACATTATTATTTGTGTATTCCGTGACAATCTTTGGCCAACAATAGGGACTTTTGTGATAGTTGCTGAACTGATCCTCATGAACCATGGTTCAGCACTTTTTCTGTTACCATAAGGCTAAGTAAGTCCCTTCCTAGGAGAAAAGCTAGCCTGCAGAGGCTCAGGTGGTGAGGCCGTGGTGGTGCTTGCTCACCTGCTGGACCTCGCTGAGTATGGAGTAGGCGGCCTGGATCTGCCTTCTGCTCAGCTTCCCCAAGGGCATCTTTTGGAGGTCAATCTGAGGAGACAAGGGACCTGAAGGCTGTGTGTTCTGCGGTGTGGTAACAGGAACACTGGTCCCTCATAGAAGATTCAGAGACCCACCAGCACAGCCTCCTTCCTCCATCATGTGGAGGACAGGGCCTCTGTAGAAGAAAGTTCTCACACACATCATTTCTAGCAGGGCTAAGCCAACTGTGTCTTCCCAACCCCATGTGCACAGCTCTGAAGGAAGGACTGGCACAATTCCCACAAACCCTGAAGGATGAAGGTCCATCAGTCAAGCTCTCATTGTAGGCTGTCTTGTCTAGGGCCCTATAGCCAAGGCCCTTGTGATCCAGGCCAGAAACAAGAACCTCAAATTTCTAAGTGGTGAATATTATATTTATACACACTTGAATTTATTTAAGTCAATCCTGTCCCTTTCAAATCAGCCACCCCTAAAGGCTACATATTTGATCTTGTTACCAATGATACCTCAGGAGTTACCTTTAAGAAAAGTTATGAGCTGAGAAGGCAGAAGTGCTATCAGTTTGGGAGACAAATGCTCTTTGCTTTGGTTTCTGCTATAGCATGGATTTAGAGTGGGCCCCGAATGCTTGGTCACTAGCCAAGTGTTATTGGAGGTGGTGGAACCTTAGGAGGTAGGGTCCAGTGGAATAAAGCTAGGTCACTGGGTATACTTTTGAAGGGCATATTGGACCCCAGACTTTCTCTTATTTCCCAGCCCATGAGGTGAGTGACCTGTTCTACCACACTCCTGCCATGACATACTATCCCACCAAGAACCCCAAAAGCAACAGCACCAACTGACCATGAACTGAATGAAAGCTCTGACACAGACCTCCTTATAAGCTGACTTTCTCAGGTATTTTGTTATAGTGATGGAGGGTAACCTTCATCAAATGATACCTAATCCCTCCTGTGAGTAAACTGGTCTGTGTTGCTTACTCAGCTCCCAAGCTGAGGCATTTGAATGCCAGTGAAACCCACAGTATCTGGAGACTGTGATAGAGTAACTGCTGGGAAGACTGGAGGCAAGGTGAGAACATGGCTTGGCTTGTGGTCCTTGTCATGCATGCCCACGCAGAAGCACCTCTGTCCTACCCGCCACTATCCCACTCCCAACCTTTGCCTTTTCCTTTGCCCTCATGTATGTAAGGCAAGCACTTTACCACTGAACTATACCCAGCCAACTTGTTCTGAGAAACAGCTGACCTGAGTTTTATTGGTTGGAGCAGGGTCAGGAAGCTCTCTCACCCCAGGACAGTGGTAGTCATATCAATTTTTGTTTTTCTACAATTGAGTGAAGTCTTAGACTTCTCATGGCACCAGCTAGGTGGTGTGCCTGGTCCCCAAAGAACCAGGCCCATAACACCCTACCACAGAAACAAAATGGAGAAAAGCACAAGGGGGACAAGGCCCAGGGACAACCCTCCACAGCATACTTCATGTTTCATAGCACACTAAATGACTTAAAAAAAAAAAAGATGGTTTCACTATGCAGCTCTGGTGGTCTGCAACTCACAAAGATCTTGCCTCTGCCTCCTGAGTGCTGGGATTAAAGGTATGCACCATGCCTGGCCATACAAAATGGCTCTTGATCAGCATAAGCAGGCACTGCAGCCTTGGAACTCAAGACCTCTAAGCAGGACAGAGGTGGGTGTGTGGCTCTCATTTTTCAGACAGAGAAGACAAGAACTCAGCAGCTTAGTACTTACCACCATGCTCAGCAAACGAGCAGCTAAGCTGCCATGGCACCCACCTCATACTCCACCAGGGCTTTTTTCATGCTCTCCACGTCGAAGATCATCCCAACAAGCTCCTGAATTGGCTTTGGGAGCTTGGACTTGGAGCCAGGCTTTACTGTCAGCTTCTTCACTGCCTCTTCATCCTTCAGGATGGTTAAAAAAAAAAAAAAAATCAGGAAGAGGTCAAATCAACAGCCCCAGCAAAGCAGTGGTTTGAGGTGTTAGAGGGAGGTAACCAGGACACAGGCCGGAAAACAAGCCAAGCATTCACCAAAAAGCTGTGGACAGTAGTGGCTAGGAGGGTTCGCACCTGGGCAAAACAGTTCCTGTGTACTCCCAAGTCCTCCTGGCTGCTTCAGTTTGTATTCCAGCTGTAAGTGCAGAACCTGTCCCACCCTAGGCACACTAGTGCCCTGTAGAAGCTCCCCAGTGCCCACCCGTGTCCAGCTTGGAAGAGCTGGGCTGCTGTAAAGGTGAACCTTGGATAGATGAGGCAGATGACAAATAGACAAATTCTTCCCTTTCCCCTGCACCTACTTAACCCAGGGCCAGTTATAGGACAGAGTTTATGCAGTTTCCCTCAGTCCCCAAGTATCTGACACTTAGTCTCATTTCCTGTCAGCCAGTTTGACAACATTAAGCCACATCTTAATAACTGCCTCTGCACCCTACTATTTACCCCTGCTTTCTGAGATGTTACTGCCTAAACTAATTCCTGCCTCCTAGGACTGGTGTTGGTTTTCTGGGTTAAATTATTAGCCTCGCCAGGTGTGGTGGTGCATGCCTTTAATCCCAGCACTTGGGAGGCAGAGGCAGGTGAATCTCTGTGAGTTCAAGTCCAGCCTGGTCTACATAGTGAGTTCTAGGTCAGCTGAGGCTACAGAGAGACCCTGTGTCAAAAAGGCCAAAAAAAATTAGCCTCATGGTTTCTTTGTTTTTAAAATGCAGCTACTAAAAATGTCACACTACTTATTTGGCTCACACTGAAATCCCATGGAACATGGTGTATCTGGAGGACGTGGGGAGTGATACTGGGTCATGAGGGCAAAAGTTGTATTGACTGCCACTGGTATGTAAAGAAGGAGTCTAGTTTTATGATGGAAAAAGGACACTCAAGGTGAAATTAGCCAGATAGACATATGCCATAATGTTTTTTTCTTTTGAGACAGAGTCTCACTATGTAGGCCTGGCTGGCCTAGAACTTGCTATGTAGACCAGTCTAGCTTTCAGAGGTCCACCTGCCCCTGCCTCCTGAGTGCCTGACCTCTAAATTCTATTTTTAATTCATGACACACTTTTAGAAAGAATTTCTCCTTTGAGACATGCTAGATCCCAAAGACTTGGAATTAAAATTTGGATTCATTTATAAATATCTTCCCTTTGGGCTAGAGAGAGGGTTCAGGAGTTAAGAGCCCTTGATGCTTTCGCAGAAGCTCCAGGTTTGGTTCCTAGAATACACATAGCTCACAACCGTCTGTAATTTTAGTTCCAAGGCAATCCAATGTCTTCCTCTGGCCTTTGTGGGAACCAGGAACATATATACATGCAGGCAAAACACTCATAGTAATAAAAAAATAAAAAAATTCTGTTTTGCAAAGCATGAGGGCAAATGCTATCTATATAGCAAGGCCCTGACTTTACCAAACAGCAACCATCTTGCCACAAAAATATGAACTAAGAGGGAACCAAATGCTGTCTGGTATGAAATAAGAGTTTCAAAAAATAGATACTGATAATATTGGGACCAAAAATCTAGCAGAGCACATCAAGTTATTCTAATTATCTTGATGTCACATCAGGTGACTTCTACGATGACAAAGGTTCCAATAAAGTCTTTCTTTAGAAACCATGGGTTTCCAGGGCAACTTCAAAACTACTCTTTCCTCAAAGTCTCAAAGCTCCTACTGTTGTGGATGTGGCGATGTGTACTTGTAATCCCAGCACTCGACAGGGAAGAGTTTGAATTTAAGGTCAGCTTGAGTTACATAGCTAGATTTCATGAAAAACAACAACAACAACAACAACAACAAAACCCCAAAACAGTCAGGTAGGTTTTAATAGCATCTGGGAGGCAAAGGCAGGCAAAGGCAGGCAAATCTCTGGGTTCAAGGCCAGCCAGGGTTGCATAGTGAGACCCTGTCTCAAAACAAAACAAAAAACAAGCAAGCAAACAAAAAAATACCCCTACCACTACTCTTTTTAAAAAAATTCAGATTTATGTGTATGACTATTTTGCCTGCATATATGTATGTAAGCGCAGGCACCATGTACATGCAATACCCATGAGGCCAGAAGAGGGTGCTGGATCTCCTGGAACTGAACCCAGATCCTCTGGAAAAGCAGCCAGGTGGGGCTCTTAGCCACTGAGCATCTCTCCAGCCCACCACCAATATTTTTATCTAAGCTTCATCTCATACTTTATAGTATAGATTTTTAAAAACATTTTTCTGCAACTGAGATGATCATGTGATCTGTCCATTATTTAAATGCCAACCAACCTTGCATTCTGGGATTTCTACTGCATTTGAGCTTGGTGCATATATAAATCTGCATGTACTGTTTGATTTTGTTTTGCTACTTGAAGATTTTTATATTTACATAGAGAAATGTTGTTCTGTAGCAGTTTTGTGATGTCCTTGGGCAATAACGCCTCATGTAACGAGCTAGAAATTTTTCTATTTCCTGGGAAGAATCACTCTAAACTGGTATTGTCACCATTCAGTGACACCATCTAACTGGACTTAAATGGCTCTTTCCTTTTAGTAGAACAGATGCTGTAAGAATATTAGTGATTACCTGGCCATAGTCAATCTCCAGAGGGTAGAACTTTTTGGGATACTTTGTGAAGTTTTTAGAGTGCCAGGCATTTCCAGTTTTCTCTTCATATAACTTCATGAAGTGCTCAATGGCATCCTCCTTGGATGGCATCTGCTCCAGTTTGTTACTGCCAATCACTGTGCCCACGCGGCCCCAGGACCGGAAGATCCAGTACCTATGAGGGGGCAGGAAGGAGGCAGAGATGCGGATGAGCTCCCTGTTTTGTTCCAGATTCCAGGCAGCGAGGGGCAGTGCAAGCTCTCGCACCCTCTCATTACTGATTCAGTGGCTCTGCAGATGGAACCTAAGGCCTTGCACATGCTAGGTAAGTATGTTACTGCTGAGAGAGGACTTTAAACATGCCAAAGTAATCACCTTCATTTTAGTAACCAGCAAGTGTAAAACAGCATTAAAGATTACGCTTGGGGCTTGCAAATTTCACCTGCTTGGGAATTTTAGTATGTGTACAACAAGAAAACCATGAATCTTATTATTATTTTTATTTTCAGCTTTTTAAGACAGGGTCTCCCTGTAGCCCCAGCTGGCCTGGAATTCACTATGTAGACCAGGTTGGCTTTGAACTCACAGAGAACCTCCTGCCTCTGCCTCCCGAGTGCTGGGATTAAAGGTGTGCACCACCATGCCCGGCATGAATCTTAATTTTAAAAAATATTACTTTTACTTTATGTATATGAGTGCACTGCCTGCATGTATATAAGTATACCTGTGTCATGCAATGCCCGTGGAGGTCAGAAGAGGGTGTTTGATCCCCTGGAACTGGGGTTTACGAACAGTTGTTAGCCACCATGTGGGTGCTGGGAATCAAGCCAGGTCCTCTGTCAGCGCAGTTAGTACTCTTAACTGCTGACCCAAAGTCCAGAATCTTGATTTTTTAAAAAAGTCATTAAAAGAAAACAAAAGCCAGTTGGGAGATGTGAAGTTACACTCCGACAGCTAGGCCACACACATAGTTAACAGCTTCCATCTCTCCTCTGCTCC